GCGTCGAAACATGATTTTGGACACGACACATTTTAAAGACACAAAGTCCACTTTAAGACCACTAAGTGTGGAAAATGAGACCAAAGTGGTGATGAAAATTGTACCAAAAAGTGTCCATAGTTTGCCCACAAAATGTGCCCGATTTTTTCTTAAAATTTGCCCACAATGTGCCCGGTAGTGTGACCGATTTATGCCCAAAGAGTTTCTAATTTGTATGTTACCAAATGGTCACCATTTATTCCGAATTGTTGCCAAAGTACTGTATTGTGTCCTAAAATAAACCCAAATGGACACTAACTATTTTTAATTGGAAACGAATTGGAAACAAACTAGATACAAAGAGGCAAAGTAAGGCGTGATGTCTTATTAATAATTATGTATATAATATAATATTATGAAATACATTATAACTTAAATCTAACATTTTTGGTAGGTATATGTTACCTTCATTTTTATTGCGAACAAAATTTTAATGGTGATTATAAGCAAAATACTTTTAAAAATTGATAGGGCCTCACAAATAATAAGTATTTATAATTTTTTTTTATTAAAAATATTTTTTTTCCTATAAAATTTTTTATCAAAACTAGACGTATGTGCCTTCTATGTAACTTAAAACATTGCATTTTTTAAATTTTAAGTTTAAATTTCACCAGAAAGTTAAATTATGTAAAAAAATTAAAGCGTCAAATCTGTTTGAACAAAAAAATATGGCGAATTACACAATGTGTCCCTTTGGAACCTAATGCGCCCGCCCCACACATTTTTGAAACAAATCAGACACCATGAATCTAAAATGCAGCTAAATGGAAACTTTTGCGTCCACTTGACTCAATTTTGTAATAAAATGGAAACATATTGATAAGGTACAATATGGAAACATTGAGTCGACTAAGTGTCGACCCTAATGAGTCTAAATTGTGTTACTGTTTCCAAGAGGGCACAAAAGCGACGCAACTTGGGCACATATTTCTGAAATAATGCTACTTAGACCCATACTTTTTTTGGACACAATTGGTTTAAAAGGTGTCGACCTAAAGCAACCACAAATTTAAAGAATGGACACAGTTTCCATTTAGACATAAGTTTTCCGATTTGTGTCGAAACAATTTGGAAACAAAAAGTGTCGTGCCCAAGTTCGGGCACAAATTGCTGCTTGGGCATTTAACGCATGCATTCTAGTCGTATTACAATTAAATACAAGTGTTTATATTTTAGGTACCTGCCCACCTTATAAGTAATCATTATTAGGTGGCGCATTGTCTTGTGTAATTTTACACCAGGTTTTTGTCATGTACCTACTTGTTATTTTGGCGTGTTAAAACTGATATAATATGTATATATATATATATATATATATATATATATATATATATATATATATATATATACATACATATTATATTAGTTAAAAAGTAATAAAATTATAGATATATATTTACTCTCTAAAAATGAAACAGTGGATTTTCACTGATTGACAGTTCATATTAACTATTTGCCGCAGTGATAAGTATGTATACCACTAGCAATTAGTGGAAATTACACTGTACAAATTAGTGAAATAGGTTTAGTTCAAAAAAGTTAATATTTCACTATTTTATGTCGAGAGTTCCGGAAAAGTAGTGATAATAAAAAACACTAATTTTACAGTGAATAATAACTCACTGACGGAAATAGTGAAAATTTCACTGTTTCACTTTTAGAGAGTACGTATTATATACGTATACGTATTATTATAGCTATTTTTGTAACATCGGCTGTTCTGGTTTTGGCTTCGCCTCGACCGCAAACAGCTACGATTCGTCCTAAAAAACATGATTTTTAGGTACATGTTGCAAACAACATTTTTTTGTTCTAGGTCCATATATTCAAATTTTTAAATAGAGTAAATGCCTATTTCTCGAAATTAAGGTTATTGACAGTGACAGTGAGTCACTGTCAGTGACAGTTATCGAATTTTATTTTTAATTGTTGTATTGCAATGGTTCAAGAACCATTTTGCAAAAGTTTCCATAGCAACTTTTTCGTACTAGTACAAAAAAAGAATTATTTTACGGACTCAAATGAGTTCGTTAAATAGCTGTTTTAGGGGAAAAAACAAAAACATAAATATTTATCAATAAATAAAAGTTTTTAAAACCAATATTATATTAAAAAGTATATCTTTATAAAACGTTTAAAAAAATAATAAATAGGTAACATAAAAATAAATTTTATTTATTAATATACCTAATCTAAAAGTTATAACAATTAAAAACATAGGTACAATAATTAAAATTACCTATTAGGTATAATACAACCATCTGAAAACCACTGCGCATACGTACGGCGTCTGTTAGTTAGTGCGCATAGATACGATCACCTGTTAACTGCGCATAGCCGATTTCTTCCCGAGAAAGGTGAACAACTCGAATTTTTGAACTATAACTTAAGGACTTCGTTATCTTATGTTCACTTAAATCATGTAGTTTAAACTAATTAATTAATTAATCCTTAATCTATTTTTAAATTATTTCTAAAAAAATTGTTTGTTGTATATATATTTTTTATAATAAACATTTGAAAAAATATTTTATTTTTAATTTAAAAAATCCGGCCACAATCCGGCCGTTGTTGCCGGATCAGTTTAAAAATTTGGCCGGAGCCGGATATGCTGCCGCATAGGCCGGATCGGCCGAAGGCAGTAGGTGCACAGCAAACGAAAAATTATAGAGGTGTATAGGATGACGCCACGTTTGAATATCGTTTTCTAAATCTCCCTACGGTATAGAGTTGTATTCGTCAGTCGAGCGTTTCAATACTCTCCACAGTATAGAGGTCGTAATTTCACTTTTGAACTATAGTTTTTATATTAATACTATAGTATTAATATAAAAATTATTTTATGCTTAAAAAAAACTATATACGACATGATTGTGATTTTTTTCATTTTATTAATTAATTAAGCTGTGTTGAATATTTGCCAATGGGCCATTAATTCATTTGTTCGTAGATGCTACAATAACCTGCACTGGTGTGTACTTTTTATCAACCAGATTTAAATATTACAAAACTAACATATACCAGTGGAGATAGTGCAGGGTCTACCAACAGACCTAATTACTAAATTATTAAAGTTTAATAGCATATCGATCATTATTTCAACATAACCTCTGAAATTTTTAATACAAATATAGGTACTTTATATAATACATAAATATACTTAACATCATATCATCTGTGCTTTACATATCTGAGTTGTTACGGTAACTAAAAATCAGACAAAGGAACCAAAGAAAGGAACTATTTTCAACAAAATCATATGCAGAAAGGAGAAAATTCAAACTACTTGCATCCATCAAAAGATCAAAATTCTTGCAATATTAGTAATATTATAATATTATATTACACCCTCTTTTTATACTCTCAGAAATATTGACTAGAACAGTATTAGAGAGACTCCAATTTCTATAACTTGGTAGAGTAAAGAGAAGTCGAAACCGTTGTGATATTGCATTGCGCTGTTTTTGTATAATTCTCGGGGACATTAACGAAAATCATTGCCAGTAAAATTCGAAAAGCTTGAGTTTCTATGTCTCTGAGGAGAATAGGAATCCGAAGTTGCTGCACCATTGGACTGAACCCTTTTTTAATAATTTCTAGAGACATAAATGACTGCACCATTCGACAGGGTCGAATTTCTACTCCTCTGTGGAATATAGAAAATCAAAATAATGTATCTTGTAAGACACCATTGAGTTTGACTTTAAATATAGTCGTGCATAGGTATAGAGCCGAAAAATATAAAAACAAAGCACGATTCAATACAGTTATGATAAAACTTTAAGATTTGATATTAAAACGCGGAGTCATCCTATACACTTCTATAATTTTCCGTTTGCTGTGTGGGCAGTAACTCCGGTGCATCCCTATTAATGGCAGAGCATGCTCTGCCATTAATAGGGATGCACCGAAATTGCAATTTCGTTTATAATTGTTTGTAGGAATTCTACACGGAGAAAAAAGTTTATTGCTCCCAAATAAAAAAAATATTTAAATATGGGACAAGGGTACAGTTTATTTATCCTAAATATATTTTTATTCCCGACATATAAAGTTTTACTAAAGTAAATATACTTTAGTAAAACTTCGTTATTATTTCGACTATTTAGAGGTAATAAACAATATATTCACTACAAATAAAAGTATTAGGTAAACAGTTTAATTGTCCCATTTTTTTCTCAGTGTAATGATGCTCCATATACATCCCTAGCTTTTTTGGTTTTTATTTTTATTTGGTTTAATTTTTTGCTGCTCTGATGACCTCTGAGGGGTCCGTTTCATATAAGACCATTGAACTTGCTGATTGGTGTTTTATATTTCTTAATAGAGTATTTGCTTTTCCCTTGATGTTTGGATTGTCAGGGATTCTGCTATATTTGCAAAATATTTGTTTAATTGTTCGCCTTCTAAAGTGGTTTTTGTATCCTTATTTTGCGTTTTTATTTTAGAATTAATTATTTCCCATATTACTTTACTCATTACTGCATTGTTTATTTGTTGAAGGTCATTGGATTTTTGTTCTATGTGCACTTTGTAATTATTTTTTTAGTTCATATAGTTTTCATCTTTTTTTACAATTGAGATTGTATATGCAGGTTGAACTTGATTTTTTAATTTTCTTGTTTCTTTATGGATTTAATTTTTTGTCTAGTTGTTTTAATGTTCACTTCACATTCACATAAAACTGTTATGGAAGTAATTATAACTTTCTTCATTCCAGGAGGTGTTTTTAATATGCTCAATAAAGAGGTGAATATTTGTAACTGAAGTATTTTGAATATATTTATATACTATTTTCAGTTACCTACTTTTTCCAATTTAATATTTAAAATTTGGGTAAGATGGTCAGAGAGGTGAGCATTTTCTGTTTTATTGTGGTAAGTATAAGTATATATAGAGTACGTATAAAATTAAATAATGTGGGAATAAAAAAAAATAAAATTATTTGTTTTTTATTTAATACAAACGTACTTTAAGTAAAAATTAGTATAAAAATAAAACCTAGTCTACTTCCATTGGCTCAGCTCGAAAAGATTCTTCTAAAATTCTGTCAGAAAGTTCACTTTCACTTTCAGTTGATTGTATATTTGTACTTTCAGAAGTGGTGGGGCCAATAATGTCTTCCGACGAAGATTTTTCAGCAACTTGAGAGGCTTGGGAGGGTAGGGGTGCATCCACTTTGGGTTCTTGTTGGGTGTCAGGGACAACTTGGTCTTGGTTCTTTTGGTTGTTATCGTAAATTCTCGGGTCTATAGTTATTGTTTTTGTACAGTTGTAGGTTTTGTAAATGCCTATTAAATTATCGCACAGTTCGAACATGTTCGATCTCAGCGAAATTATTATAAATTGGGCGTTTTTCGTACGTTCCTAAAATTGGGGACATATTATAGTTAAATTTTTATATTTCTTAGTTAAAACATAATTTTTAACAAATTATTGAACCTTTAACGTTTTAAAAGTTTCAAATTCTGTTACAATTAATGCCTTAACAAAATATGTCATGAAACTTGAGTTATTTATTAAATTTTTAATACTATTTACCTTGATGTAATGTCCTACAATAGAAACGTTTTTAAAGTCTAAAGCAGCGTCAATTTCATCCATAACGTAAAGTGGAGAGGGTTTATAATAATGCAACGCAAAAACTAAAGCAAGTGATGATAAAGTTTTCTCTCCTCCTGACAAATTGGAGATTTTCTTCCAAGATTTTTTAGGAGGCCTGACACTAAAATATAATAATAGTAAAATATATCATTTTTAAATAAACAAATATTTCTTACTTAAATTGTATTCCTTCTGTAAAAGGATCAAATGTGTCCACCATTTCAAAATCAGCATCTCCTCCCAATGTTATCATTTGATACATTTCTTTTAACTTTAATTTTATAATGTTGTACCCAACCAAAAATTCGTCTTTCCTTTGTACTCTTATATCATCATAAAGTTTTCTCATTTGATTTTTCTTTTCCGTTACTTGTTCCAAATCTTTTGAACGTTCGACGAAAACTGATTGTTTTTTACGATATTCCTTTAATAAAAAATATGTTTGTTTATGCTAACCTACACCGGCACACTTTTTGACCAATCAGATTTAACTATTGCTGCACTAGTAGAAAAACATTTGATTAAAAATAACCGTTTTTTTATGGGCCCTAGCTGTTTTTTTTGTGAAGCAAATACTAAATTTGTGTAATATGTATTATAAACAAATAATCGTTTATACGAGTATACAGTTTAGTTTAATATTGGTCAAATTTCAGTTACTTACTTGTATGGCATTTAAGTTGGGTTTTGCAGTTTTTAAGAAATGATCAGCTGCATCCAATTCTTTTTGTACATCTTCAACGCTTCTTTCTTCCAATTCTTCTGACGTAAATTTTTTTAAACTTTCCATAGTTTCATTTGGGATATCTTGAAGTTTTAGATGAGTTAGTTTAACTTCCCACTGGTGTATGGTAGCTTTGTAATCATTCAATTTTGTATTGGCAGCTTTAACCTTTTGATCAATATCAACTTTATCTGATTTAATTGCATTTTCTTTTTTAGTTAATTCAGCTACTGTATTCTTTACATCTAAAACAAATATTAAACATATAACATAATATGTTAAAAAACCATTAAGTGGTAATTTTTTGCCCCCCCCCCGGATTATGTTCTGCCGGCGCCCATGTATTATGGTGTTTTCTGTAACTAATGAAAAAAGTTTTTTTCTTACTACCTCGACTCAAAATACGTTGTTTCGTCCCCGATTTCACGGCAGAAAGTTTACGTTTCTTGCATTGGTCAAGCTATACGCGCACACTCTAATAGCGGGAGTAAAAATTTTTTAGTCGTGTGCTTAACATTCAAATTTCGTACTGCCAACATGAGAAACACAAAAATATGACAGTTTTAAACCATAATTTTGCAATTATAACAACAAATAAACAATTTATGTTTTTACTTTTTTAATTTTTATGTTGTTTTAAGTGTTTATAAACATTTTAAGTGTTTATAAACATAACAATTAAAATCTGACGTTTAATTTAATTCTGACGTTTACATTCAAAATCAATCAAACTGTAGCGTTGTCATGGTAATTCAGCGGTGCCAATACAGTAAAAATAAAAGGTTGTATTTTAATTAACAAATTACTACTTTATAACAAATAAAAGTACCATTACCAACGTCAGAATTAAATTAAACGTCAGATTTTAATTTTGACACAAGTTTTTTTTATATACATTTAATTTTTTCCCGTATTTTCTGCGGGGTAGCAAGAAAAATAGTATACACTACACGGGCAGAAAGTGTGAGAGCCCTGAACTGCGCGCCATGATGCCCTCGGCTTCGCCTCGGGCATCATGGCGCGCAGTGCAGGAATCTCACACTTTCTGCCCTTGTAGTGTAATATACTATTTCTTACTACCTCGACTCAAAATACGTTGTTTCGTCCCCGATTTCACGGCAGAAAGTTTACGTTTCTTGCATTGGTCAAGCTATACGCGCACACTCTAATAGCGGGAGTAAAAATTTTTTAGTCGTGTGCTTAACATTCAAATTTCGTACTGCCAACATGAGAAACACAAAAATATGACAGTTTTAAACCATAATTTTGCAATTATAACAACAAATAAACAATTTATGTTTTTACTTTTTTACTTTTTATGTTGTTTTAAGTGTTTAATGGTACTTTTATTTGTTATAAAGTAGTAATTTGTTAATTAAAATTACAACCTGAATTGGCACCGCTGAATTACCATGACAACGCTACAGTTTGATTGATTTTGAATGTAAACGTCAGAATCACGGTCTTATATACAGGTCTTGCAACTTCGCCCAATTTCAATAGGAAAAGTGACCTCTCTAATGAGACACCCACCAGATGGCGCATCGAGTTGAGGGTGAACCATAGATGTTTAAAGGTCGTTTTTACCTTCTTTATCTTTGGGTTTTACAATCGTTAGATAAGCTCTCTGGTGGATAATTTTCTTAGATAGAAGGTTTCTATGAAAGTTATCCGCCAAATAAGCTAACTTAATCTAACGATTGTAAAACCGGCTCTAAGTCCTTAAAGTCTATGGGATAAAGGTCAAATGAACTACCTACTTATGTTCTGTCACAGAACTTCTGTGAAGAAACATAACCTACATTTTTATAAACAAGCTTGTGTATTTTGTTACAGGGAATTTTTACTTATTGTTATTGTGATATTCGTTATTGTTATATTATATTGTTCTATTTTTTCTTGTTATATTTGTTCTTGTTATATTTGTTCTTGTTATACATTTGTATTTGTACTTTTTAATAGACATGAAGTCCTGTGTTGTGCCAAAATGTAACCAGCAAAGCTATCGTTCCGGCATTAAAATTAAGCGGTCCATGTTTAAAGTGCTAACAAATAAGGAGCGGTTAAAAACCTGGCAATGTGCAATAAAAAACATATTATTGACACCTTCACATTTTGTATGATTATTACATAATTAAGCACATCGTGTTGGTGAAATATATATTATTTTAAATAAACAATCAACCCATCCCCGCCAAGACAATAAAAAAATCGGTTATTAATAAATTAGCCAGAATATTGGTTGGTTAGTTTGTTGTGTTACTAGAAATTTTGGTTTTCATATTAGCCAAATTGAATTGGATAGTTTACAAATTATCCAGCTATTCCTAAATAATTTCAAGTAAATTAGCCAAGACCCTTGGTTGGTTTACAAACTAGCCGCTAATTTAGTTAAAAATACGTTTTCAATTAAAATAGCTGACAGTTTGGCTAGTTTATAAACTACCCAGCTACTTAATAAACTATCCATGTTTACACATTAGCCGTAACATATACAGGGTGTCCGGGAAAAGGAAGTCAATCCGTTAACCATATATTCCTTGAGTTAAAACAATAACTTTCATAATACCATTTTTCAATTTAGAGCTTTATGTTCGATATACAGGGCGACAAAGTTTGAAATGATTTTTTTTAATAATTCGAGTAATTGATAAGATATTAAGTTCAAATTCGGTACACTACTTCAACATAAATAGTTACATTTTTTGAGACCAACAAAACAAAAAACAATTGTCAAATAATCAAAATTGGGGGGGTCCAGTACTCACTGACTCCCCCTATTTTTTAGTACGTGCGCCAATGACTTCCAAACGGTATTTTTTCAGGTAATCATTTATTGTTAAAAAAAAATTGTCTCCTATAAAATTTTGATAAAATGATTTGTTTTAGAGATAATTTGTAAAGTATGGGTCAGTCCATATCAAATCAACCAAATGTTCTTCCCCCACCATCTCCGATTTTGATAATTTTTGGTAAATTTGTTTACCTCACTAAAAAACTCAAAAACCCCATATATGAATTTTTTTCGATAGGTGGTTTTTGTTTTATTGATTTTTGAAAATGAAAAAATTCCGATAAATTTGGGTCTTGCAAGTACTTACAAAAATAGCGATATCTCGTAAACTATTAAAAGTAGAAAGGTGAGTATGGCTTATTTTAAAGGCCTATTAGAGACATTTTTTATGATATATCACATGACCTAAATTTTTCCTAAAAAAAAAATAAATTTCGAAAATTTGATATGGGCTGACCCATACTTTACAAATTATCTCTAAAACAAATCATTTTATCAAAATTTTATAAGAGACAAAAAATTTTCAACAATAAATGATTACCTGAAAAAATACCGTTTGAAAGTCATTGGCGCACGTACTAAAAAATAGGGGGAGTCAGTGAGTACTGGACCCCCTATTTTGATTATTTGACAATTGTTTTTTGTTTTGTTGGTCTCAAAAAATTTAACTATTTATGTTGAAGTAGTGTACCGAATTTAAACTTAATATCTTATCACTTACTCGAATTATTAAAAAAAATCAGTTTTAAATTTCAAACTTTGTCGCCCTGTATATCGAACATGAAGCTCTAAATTGAAAAATGGTATTATGAAAGTCTTATTGTTTTAACTCAAGGAATATATGGTTAACGGATTGACCTCCTTTTCCCGGACACCCTGTATATGATATACGTATGTATTTTATACATTAACATGTTTGGTCTGGGCCTTACGGAAAAACACTGTTAACACTGCACAACATTATGCAACACTACTTTTGAATAATGTTTTCGTTAAAAGTGTTACATAGTGTGACCAGTGTTGTTTAGTGTGACTATTGTTGTATAGTGTGATTAGTGTTGCAGTGTTAATAGACCTAGCCCATAAATCGGATTTTTTGGATAGCGCGTGCGTGAAAAAACGCGGCAGTCTTTTTTATTAGAATTCTAATGAAGAAAGAGACTGTCGCCCTTTTTAACGCACCCCCTATCCAAAAAATCCAATTCATGGGATAGGTCTAAAGCTATTTATCACTGCGGAATGAAATATTTCAGTCGACCGACCGATCAAACGACGCTAGGCGGAGTTTGGTCAGCAGTCCAGTGCGGAAAAGACACTTTCCGCATACCCAATTGCTTACAATATTTTTCTAAGAGCATGCGGAAATCAATATAATATAATTTTTCAATTATTTTTCTTATTTCATTTTTTAAATTAATTTAACTCATGAATTTTTTTATTGTAATTACAACTTAAGTTCTCACAAATTTTAAAGTTTTAACAAATTACTGTCAGTAATTTAAATAATTATAAAATAAATTATTAAGATAATTAATTAAAAAATTATATAGGAAAACTAATTTGAAAATTATAATTTAATTTAAGTTTACATTGAAAATTAATTACGAAAAGTTCGCACAATTATGTTTTATCTGGTAAATTTAAGTTCCAATTGTAAATTAAAATTTACAATAAATTTTTATCTAATTATTAAATTAATTTTTTTTAATATTAATTAAAAAAAAAGTTTAAACAGTAGAATTCTGCATTTTTTGGTGCTTTTTTAGCATTTTTTTTAATTGATAAGGTTCAAAAATATTTTTTAATTTAGTTATTTAATTAAAATTAATTGGAAATTCTAATTTTCAGTTGAAACTTAAATTTATCAGATAAACACTTATATTTATATGAACACTACACAAAACTTCTTATTACAGCAACATTAATCACTTTAACACTATGGGCAAGTCGTTAACACTGTTGGAACACCATGAACACTATGCAACACTCTTTATCACTGTGCAACATTACAACAACAATAGTGCAACACTATGGAACAACTCGTTAACACTGTTGGCACATTATTAAAATCGTCAGTAGTGTTGTACAGTGTTTAATAGTGTTTAATACTGTTGAACAGTGTTTAATACTGTTGAACAGTGTTTTTCCGTGACGGCCGAGGACTTTGTGCATAAAGTATAGACTTTGTTGTCCTATTTTGTTAACGTAAATTATCCGAAACAAACTCACAAATATTAAATTTTTGAAAATGTAAACAAAACATAGAAAAAGAATTTAAAAAGTTAGGTTATGGTTATGCAGTAGTTCCACATTTAACTAAGTAGTAGTTTAATTGACTTTACCCCTTCGATCTTAGCGCCACCTAGCGGCTTGGCACGTTAAGGAAGCCACCTCGAAGCTTAAAGTTGCAAGACCTGTATATAAGACCGTGGTCAGAATTAAATTAAACGTCAGATTTTAATTTTGACACAAGTTTTTTTATATACATTTAATTTTTTCCCGTATTTTCTGCGGGGTAGCAAGAAAAATAGTATACACTACACGGGCAGAAAGTGTGAGAGCCCTGAACTGCGCGCCATGATGCCCGAGGCGAAGCCTCGGGCATCATGGCGCGCAGTGCAGGGATCTCACACTTTCTGCCCTTGTAGTGTAATATACTATTTTGCATTGGGCCTGCATATCCATTTAAAGATTTTACTGCCATTGCAAGTACATGTATATTATACAAGACGGATCGATGCTTTGTCGAGAGATAATTCGACCTGGATACTATAGTATAGTATACTATATATGAGTACATTAGATGCAAAACTCGGTTTTTGCAAATTTTTTAATAATATATATTTTATCCTATTTATGTACATTACTGAGATTCACACATAATTAGAGATGTAAAATAATGGTTTTTTTTCAAGTGTGAAAAAAAAACTAGAAAAAAACGGGTTTTTTAAAATTTTTTTTTCAAATCCGCTGCAATAAAGCATATTCTGTCAATAAATAACATCAATCTTAAAAAATTGAGTAATTTGTATGTATAATAAAGTGAAATGTAGAATATAATATATATATTACACCGTACAACACAAAATTGCCCGCATCGATGAAACTTGAAAAATCGGATAGAAGACGATAAAAAAAAAGACCCGTGTATCGGCGATTTTTTTGTACACGTCAAAAAAATTTTTTTTTTTCACTTTAAAGTTTTTAATTACGAGCATTTAATATGTTTTGTTTTTAAACAAAATATACCAATTTTGCTGTAAACCATATTATTGAAAAGGTATTAAAAATTAGGAAAAATGTTATATAATGTACAGGGAATATGTAAAATTGGTAATTCAAAAGATTAAAGGAAAAATTAAAAAATAAATCTTAAAAATTCGTATGATAACTATTATTTTGAGCATTTATGTATTCTTGGTTAAAAACAACGTTTAAACGTAAAAACAATTTTGTTTTTTTGTATATACACTGTGGGTTTGTTAATCTAAAATTTAGATTCTAAATGATACGCATATAAAAGTACGATTTTTATTAAACTGCACCTTTTATAGTTTTGTTCGTTGAGAATTAAAATGGAGTGTCCTAATCGCAATAAATTTTGTTATGTTTGTGGTTTATATGTAACTGTGAAACATGTTCGTAATATAACCAAAACCTTAGTTCTTTCGTTTCAGCGACAGTTTAAAACCATTTACGTTCCGTACTTATGGTACGCTCTCGAAGTGGTATGCACGTACTGCTATAGGTCATTATGTAAAAATAATGACAAACAACCCGGTAGTAAATACCAAATACCTACTATTTGGTTACCCCGTACAGAGCATTCTCCGGAATTGTGTTACTTTTGTCTGAACGAAACAAGAAGCTTTGGTTATAAATATGAACACCGCGAAAAAATCGCCTACGTTGAAGTTGAATCTGTAATCCCATTGAAGTTGAATCTGTAAACCCAGTTGAAAAAGAAGCTTGGGTTAATGTCTTTGAAAACTTTCTTGGTAACAATCGAGCTGAAAATTATATAGAAATTGTGCAAAAAATAATCTCTGCTTATGGCAATATGGGAGTATTAATGTCATTAAAAATTCATTTTTTGCATAATCTAGATTTTTTCAAAAATAATATGGGTGATTACAGTGATGAACATGGAGAAAGATTCCACCAAGACATAGCTTTAATCGAAACTATAGATTTAAAGGTAAAAATTTGGTGCACATGCTCGGTGAATACTGTTGGTCACTTTGTCGTGAAACGGCAACAAATTTACTAAAAAAAAAAATAAAAGGCCAAAATTTGAAAAAAAATTGAGTTGTATCAAATATTTTTATTAAACTAAATAATATCAGACATTTTGTTTAATTGTATTCAGCGTTAAAACAATTTATAAGGTAGTATTGTTTTTTTTTTACTTTTGAGTATTAAAATTTTATGGACGTAATAATACAGTAGTTACAGCCTTATGATTATGTAAGAGTTCTTTAAAATGCCCTTTAAGAACATTTGTAAGCTTGAATAAAAAAAAATAACATTAATATTTAGTATGGAAACTTTCTACGAATTATCTTTAAATTTTGTGTTTCAAAACCAAATAAAAAAAAAATTTGACGTGTACAAAAAAATCGCCGATACACGAGTCTTTTTTTTTATCGTCTTCTATCCGATTTTTCAAGTTTCATCGATGCGGGCAATTTTGTGTTGTACGGTGTTATATATTACATTTTTCATTAATGAAAATTTTGACTGAGACTAAAAAATCTCATTTCTTATAATTTGGTAGTTTCCACATAAGAAACCAATAGCAATGTAAAACTTCTACACTAATATAAAAAATTAAAGGATAAAAAAAATTCCAAATTTTTTGAGATTTTTCGGATAGCTGTAAAATGGTCATATTGGAGACGTAAAAAAAGCAATTTGAAGCTTTAAGTTTCTAGTTTTGTGATTTTTAGATGAAAAACATGCAACGCTCAATCCTAAAGAATACCGTAATAAAAAAATTCGAAATTTTTTTTGGTTTTCTTTTTTGGTCCACGCAATGTTCTGACTTAACCCCCAATGAATAAATGTTCTACAAGAATTTGCTATTGTTTTTTTTGAAAAATTTCCATCCTCTACATGAATTCGAAAAATCATGCAAAAAAGTGCTTTTGGTAGCTTTTTGAAAAATCAAGCGCTGAATCAAAAATATTATAAGTAGTTACTTTTTTTCAATTCAGTGGTGGTGGCGCGTGAAAAGCGCGAGACTGTATTTACATTTACTAAATGACATTTAGTGTCTAATTTTAGTCCACGAACTGGATTGGAAACATAAAAAATTAGGCAAATGGAACTAATCTTGAAAAAAACCTAAAATATGAAAAAAACCATTTGAAAAAAAAAATAATGAAAAAAACCCTGAAAAAAAAAACAAAAAAAAACGGACCGTTTTTTTTCAAGCCGCATCTCTACACATAATCCATACTAGATATACCACATAAATTTAATAATTAAATTGAATTACAAACATTGAATAACTAATTTGGCCGGATCCGAACGGATTGAAATTGGTGCCGGATTGCAATTGTTACATGACATTTAACATTTCTGCAATCACCCATTCGTTTATTTTCTGCAGAATATATATATTTATATTTTATTTTTATTCACCCTAAATAACAGATATTTTGTTAGATGAAATGATTGAAATTTATCAAGATTTAGTATTAATTAATTCAATTTTGTAAAAATTGACAAATTATAATTTATTTATATTTTAAAATAAAACAAAACATTGGTTTAGCATTTTTTCTACTTACCACTGTATGCTTCTTCTGCATCTTCAAGTTTTTGAGTGATTTCCTCGACGCATTGAAGCAACTTTGCGGCATCACTTTCAATTTCTAAACGTTCATCTCGCATTGCTCTTAACTTATTTTCCATGTCTGTAATATCTTGTTCCATAGTGGCAATTTTTTCTTTGGATTTTTCCGCATTTCTTTCTGCAGTTTTGGATGCAACTCTTAGCCTGGTTATTTCGGCCTTGCATTTATCAATACCTGTTTTTGCCTCCTTAATGTTTTTTTCAATGGCGCTCATTTTTCCTGTCGTCTTGGCTTTAATTTCCTTTGTAAGCTTGTCAACCTCCACCTGAAGCTCATTGGCAGCTTCACTTGCCTGATCAAAGGCGGCTTTTTTGTTTTCCACCACTAATGTCAGTTTTTTAACTTGAACAGGATCTGCTTTCGTTTGTTTTGCTTTAACTTCCTGTTCTTTAAGCTGTTTTGCAATGGAGGGTTGCTGTTGTTCCAAAGCCTAAATATGGAGTAGATAAAAGTTTGTTGGAATACACATTTTCTGCACTTACTTTAAGTTCCATCGAGAACTTCTCATAGTCAATCTTCATTTTTCTTAGCTCTGGTTCCAAAACGTTGACCTGCGATTCCAGTTGCGATTGTCGTTCTCTTAATTGCCGGACTTTTTGTTCCATTTCGGAAAGTTCGGCTTCTAAATTTTCCAATTCCTTTGGATCTACGTTGGTTACGGCTACAGATTGACCCATTCTACCTCTGCTAACTTGCTTGCCTCCACCGCTCATTGTACCTAAAGAAATATGTTGAATGTTTCATAAGAGTTGTAATTATTCGCACTCTAAAATGCATTCTTGGCACTTTGAATTAAATACCTCTGCACTTTAAAATGACAAAAATGCATAATAAAATGCCATTAACTCCCAACAATGCAAATGCGATGAGCTGTGAAAATGCTTTTAAAATATATTTTTAACAACCCAACCTTTACCTATGCATTTTCTAATAAAAATATATCAAATTTAAAGTGTCCTATCATTTTATGGAGCACTTCTCTCATTTTAAAGTGCACTTTAATGTAAATGTTGCAATTTAAAGTGTGTTAATCCAAATCATATTTGTATGTATGTTGTATTTTATACAACATTTAATAAACACTCTGGGTATCGGAAATGTGGCCACTCAGGCTACGATATATGGGCATTATTGCCTAAATTTAAATTAATTAAAAGGTATTTACCAGTGGTTTCGATAAGGTCACCTCCTAAAGTAACAACTCTAAACCTTTGAGCTCCATACGCTATTCTAGAAGCTTGATCAAGATCATTCGCAACCAAAGTATCTCTTAAAGCATAGTAAAATGCAGTTCGTACACGATCATCTTGTATCTTAATCAAATCAAATAGTCTTGGAACATTTTCAGGGCTAAAAAATTATTTTTATAAAAATAAATAAAGAAATTATACTTGGTTCATTTACGTTCGGATTTGTGAGTTAGCATGTTGAGCCAAGTGTTCCTGTTTTTCTAATGCAATAAAAGTAGCCCTGCCAATATCATGCCTTTTTAGGAATTCAATGCACCATTGCGCTGTAGATACCGTATCTACTACAATGTTGTCAAGAGGACCGCAAGCGGTAGAAATTGCAACGTCAAATTTTTGGTCTATTGCACCCAAGTCACCCTAAAAATAAAAAGAAACGCTATTAATCACTATAGTCAAAGAGGCGCACTATGGAAAATCGAGGTGTGTCTTGTATCAAAAATACATAACTTTTTTATTTCTAAAAATAAGCCACTAAAATTTTGAACATATACAGGGTGTATCACAGTCGATGGTAGGTTAGACGTTTATGGAGAACGGCAAAAGATTTCGAATTGAAATTTTTATAGCAATTATAATATCATTTAAACTATTTTTCTAAATTATTTTGAACAAAATTCCTCTTCCGGTTTTAACGGAAGTGATATCAACTTTGTTATTTTAAATGGATCATCATATTTTTTTTACATTTTTACATAAATTCCTACTATCATTCCTTATAAAATGGCTATACCATGTCCTATACCTAAACTTAATAGTTTTTGAGTTATTAATTTTTTTTGTAAAATTCGGTCAGTTTCACCCTCAACAAAAAGAGCTTATAACTTTTTTATTATTAGGTTTGCTGATATCCGGTTGGATTTATTGGAATCCTAAATCATTCTTTTAAAGATTCCATGTAATTTATTTTAATATTTATAAAAAGATACTTGATAAAAAACAATGTGAATGTAACTTAAAACAGCAATAACTTTTTTATTTTCAATGGAACGCCCTGTATATTTTTAAATAATTAAATATGAAATTAATAATAACAAAGATATTTTACAATTCCTATTATTTATTATGTATTTCAAATTTTTAAATATTAATATTAATTTAAATTAATAAACAATACTAGTGTAATCTACGAATGAGTTTTAAAAATCATATGACAAGAAAATAATATTAATAATAAGAATATTTTTTTTCGGTGTTTGTAAATAAAAGCACTCTCTAAAAATTAATTAGTCAAAAATGACTAATTTAATAGTTAGTGGCTGCTTTTTCACTTGTATCATGGAATACCATGGTATACCAAAATTTAACAGTCAATTCTTATGTAAAATTGTCCCCTGAATCCGAAAATATCAAAAGTTAAGAAAGTAAAACAGATTTTAAGATATAGTCAATTTTCCATTTAATATGCAATTGACTATATCTCAAAAACTGCTTCACTTTAATAATTTTTGGTATACCATGATATTTCATGGTTAACCATGGTACAAGTTTAAAAGCAGCTTCTAATAATTATTAATTTAGTCATTTTTGACTAATTTATTTTTAGAGAGCACTGAAACAAAAAGTAAATAAGTCGTTTTGTAGGTATGTGTATAAACGGTCTGATTGAACGCCCGGTACCTTCATTAAAATGTATATTATTATTTACTAATAAGGTTAGAAATACATTAATTAAATAAAAATAATGTTTTAAATTAACAAAAATTGTTAATAAAATAGTTAAAAATCACTATTCAAATGAAGTTTTGATGAACTTGTTTATTCTTCATTGACAATATAACAAACTTACCTATTGCTAGAAAATGCAGAAACTTTTTGTATGTTGTACCTTTAATTTGGTTACCTGTCCATTAAGCATAAATATTTTCAACTTCTTTTGAGTAATAATAAATATCGGGAAGGTTTTGTTATTCATACCAAATTAATACACATAAGCAACATTTTATCAGTTTTTCTTCATATTATTAGGTTAATTGTAAAATATCTTTCTTAATATTAACTTTAGGTATAGGGAATGGTTATATCAATGAAAAGGTATTATAATTTCATATTTAATTATTTTATTATTAAAATATATAGGGCGTTCCATTGAGAATAAAAAAGTTATTGCTTTTTTAAGTTACCTACATTCACATTATTTTTTTACAAGTATCTTTTTAGAAATATTATAATAATTTACATGGAACCTTTAAAACAGTGCTTTAGGATTTAAATAAATCCAACCGAATATCAACAAACCTTATATTAAAAAAGTTATACGCTTTTTTTGTTCAGGGTGAAACTGACCAAATTTTACAAAAAAGATTAATAACTCAAAAACTATTAAGTTGTAGCGAGTACGGCTCTGGATCTCGGAATGATGACTCATCGCCGATGAGTCATCGCCGGTGAGTCATCGCCGGTGACTCAGCGCTCGAATAATCGAGAGTGTGGAGCTCGCTGGAATGTTCCAGAAGACATAGGCGCTGAATATATAAAGAACGACGCATCACAGAGCAGTTCAGTTGAGCTTTGGTACGCGCGAAGAAATAAATAAATATAAGTGCAAATAAATAAACTAGTAGTGATATAAATAATTAGTAGTTAAGTGTTTAGTTAGTTTTATAGTGTTTTAAGTGTAGTTAAGTTATTAAATAAATAGTTTAGTTCGTTAATTAACCAGTGCGTGTTTTTATTCACACTACGAACAGTTATAAAAACGTTACAAAGTTTAGGTATAGGACATGGTATAGCCATTTTATAAGGAATGATAGTAGGAATTTAAAAATGTAAAAAAAATTATGATGATCCATTTAAAATAACAAAGTTGATATCACTTCCGTTAAAACCGGAAGAGGAATTTTGTTCAAAATAATTTAGAAAAATAGTTTAAATGATATTATAATTGCTATAAAAATTTCAATTCGATATATTTTGCCGTTCTCCATAAACGTCTAACCTACCATCGACCGTGATACACCCTGTATAGAGTAGATTATGCAAGGCTTTTAATGCATGGTTTTTTATTTGAATTTATTTTGATACATTAAAAAATAATTAAAAATCAATTTTGTATTTTTTTAATTTTTAAACCCCATTTTTTAATCCAAAAATAATAATATTTTAAATTTGACTTAATGACGTGAAAGAGCAATAAATTTGCTACAAAAAACATTTTCAATTTTTTTATTTTTTTATATACTTTATGTATATTTAACATACGTTATGCGCGCTTATTAACTAAAGTTCATAGCGGGGCCCTTGGATTTCCAAAAAATTTGGTGTATGCTTAGGCTCTTTACAGGTACAACATATATAAATTTAAACCAAATTGGACTTTGAACTTTTTTTTTGTTCCCGCTAAAAGTTATCCGGGACTTTTGACGGTTACCGACGTTTACCTATGTTTTAAATTTAATGTTGATTTGTTGCTTAGCTATTCATCAGAAACATTTATAAAAATTAGCTGCTACTTTTTGCTAATTCCAAAGCTATTTGAAAATGGAATGAAAAATAAGGTTTAAAAATTACAATATTACAAAATGGATTTTTATTATTTTAATGTAATGTTCCAAAATAAGTCCAAATAAAAAACAATGCATTAAAGGCCTTGCAATCTAATCTATATATGTACAAAATTTTAGAAGTCTATCTTTAAAAATAAATATGTTATGTATTTTTGATACAAGATACACTCCGATTTTCCATAGTGGGGCGTCGCCAAATTTTAAAGGTTTTTTAAAAGGGTTCCGGATAAAATAACACGCCGTAATATCATATATTTTGTTAGGGAATAAATCAAGGAAGTCGTAGGCCACGCTCTTTGGTCCTGTGGAAAAGTGTCCTAAAGGGGTTTGAAAAAGTAGAGCATTTAAAAATTAAAATTTGATCCACCCTAACCCAAACACTAACACAACCACCGTACTGTGCCTCCGCTCGAAATTTAAAAGGCGCGTGCAGTTATAAACGAGCGTTTCATTTTATAAAATTACAAAATTTAAATTTGTAAATCTGTAAATCGCAAAATTCTGCTGTTTGATCGTATTTAACAGTCGCATCGGCAAAGGGGTGGAGTTTACACTTTAAACTATTGCTACAGCAGCACGTGGAACTAAGTGGCGTTTAACGGGTTTCATAAAAAAAATAAACAAAACAGGTAGGTATATACCGGAAAAAATTTGGTAGCTGACTTCAAGATTCGACGGCTCATTCCAAGTTCTGACTTTAAAGAAGATTCAGCCGTATTCAGCCAGTCGTTGTTTACTAAGCTGTGAAGTTAGAAAGCAGATAATCGCAAGTTATTTACCCCACTGTGGGAAACCATTACTTGTCTTCAGTACCGAAGTATTGCCGTCCACGTCGGGTTCTTAATAGTTATTTACGATATAAGTGGGATAAGAGCTTTATTAACGTACGCATGCGAAATTTGCCCAACGAGTGCGTAGCACGAGTTGGGCAATCGCAAAAGTACGTTAATAAAGCGTTATCACACGTATATTGTACAAATTTTTATCTACGCCTCTAAATGAAAAAATAAACGGTAATTATTTTTGTCTAAGACTTAATTTAGGGTTATTTTGACATTTTGACATTTTGACTTTTTTATTTGATTGGTTAAAAACAGAGAAAAACGCGTGCGTTAATGATTTTCTTATCTCACTCAAAAGGAGTGGGATAAGAAGTTTATATCTCACTGGCGTAGATAAAAATTATTTTACCTCATTGTGCGAAGTTTGTTAATTTGTCAATGCATACTTTTGCCTGCCTCGCTGCGTTTTTTGTTGTTACCAATTCAATAGAATTTACATACTTTGTTTTGATTGCATCCCCCTCCAGCACCGACTTGTATTTTATGCCGCTTAGCCCCCCTAAAAGGTTGTTAAACAATGCAAGACCACTTATCAGTAAAGATTGCGAATTAAATCTTGCGGTTTTAAGCTTTTGTACTTATATGGGTATTTAGGTCCTTCAAAAGCTAGCGCGATGTGGCACAGCACTCTATCCTTTAATATTTTTAAATTTTAATACCCACTTTTGTTTTTGAACTGTAAGCCTTTAAGTCTTTAATTATTTTTTTAAATGATTTATGGCAGCGCTCTTGTAAACGTCTCCTTTCTTCTAAAGTTCGGTTCACACTGGCCAATTACAACGTAGTTTAAATAAGTAATATTACAAAATAGACTTCAATGATGCAACTGGCGAATTTTTGTCAAAAATTTAAAAAAAAAATTCACTTATTTTTTTGTAGCCTTGACAACACAAATCTGAATTCTTGTTGGTTAATATAAAAAATCTCATTTTTGACTGATTTTTTCATGGTTTAGACAACACGACACCATAAACACAGATGTCAAATCTGGAATTCTAGGATTTTAATCATGTCTAAGTCGACTTATATAATACAGTTTGGCTCTGGGGTACAGATATAGTTATCTAAATATTTGGTTTATTAAATAAATTTTTAAATATCGATTTTAAAATAAAAAATGATTTATAAAGTTAAATTATTTTATAAATCGATGTATTAAATAATCATAATTTGTAGTCTAATACGATAGTTATGTTAATATAGCACCGAATATTCACTTTTTGTATTGATATCTGTGTACGGATAATACAAAAGAAATTCAAAAGTAAATTTTTCTAAACATTTACCAATTTCTTCGCTATTTCGTTTTTTTCGCTGGCTCAATATTCCTGGAAATTTTAAAACTCTTCTGGAACTGCCGATATGAAAAGTCCGTATCCGAGAAAGTTAATTTTTTATAGCCAGACAAAAGTAGACCATAATGGTTAATTTTTAATTTTTAGCTTACCAATCGTCCAAACAGTCCTTTACACTTCCCCTCTCTTTTCTGTTGCATCAAAGAGTCCAAAACGCGCCCGCGCGATCTTGAAGCATTCATTGAACTCTTTTTCTCCTCCAGAAAGTGCCTCTTTGATCTGACTTCATTAATAATCATAGACTCTTGCAGCTTAACTTTGTTTAACTCATCATTTGTTTCCTTTAATGACTTTTCAGTCGCAGGTATTTTCGTTTTGAGTAATTTTACAGCTTCTGTTCTTTCTTCCACAGTTTCATTGTTGGTTACAAAAAGTTTTGTCAATTCTTCAAATTTTGTTCTTTCATTTACTTCATTGCTGACGTAAATTTTCAACTCTGACTCTGCCAAGGAAAACTAAAAAAAGAATTAATTATTAATATTTATCTATTATGCCCCCAAAATATATTACTTACTGCTGATCTTGTCTCATCCACCGCTTTTTTTAGTTCAACCAAATCAGTTTGGATTTCTTCTTTCTTTTCTTGCAAAACTTTGGTTTCAGTCTGTAAACTGGCCAACAATTTGGTTTTATCATCCTCATACCTTTCTTTCTTTTCTGTAAGTTCTGCTTCTTTAATTTCACATTCCTCAATATCTTTAATGTTTTTTTCTGGCTGTTTAAGAAGTTTTTGAAGATTTTTATGTTCCCCAGCTAATAACTCTTTTGTTTTTTTACGATTGTTGTTCATTTGAGTCATAGATTCTTGTAGTTGGATGTCTTTCTTGTTGGCTTTATCATAGGCTTCTTTAATACCCTCTTTTCTTTTTTGCATTGATTCATATTTGCTAAAAAAACAATTTTTTTAATTGTATGAATTTAATTTCAAATAAATTAATAAATTGGGACCCAAAAGGTAAGTAAATATTTATTATATTCATTATAGTCACGGCCAAATCTCCATGTTTTTTTTTTCATAATTTTGTAAAAAAATGTTTAAAAACCTTGATTCTTTTTTAAGCACTTCATCATTTTCTTGCTTCTTTTTTGTAATTTCCGTCAACTTATCTTCCAATTTTGTCTGTGCTTCCTTAATCTCATCATACTCTTCTTTAGAAGAGACCACTTTACTTTCTAAATCTTTTCTAAAAATAAAATATTCAATAAAAGTTTAAACATGTCTTAGTTTTAAAAACTTACATATTTTTTTGATAAATAAAATTTTTGCAGTTCGAAATTGTGTTTTCAGTTTTTAGAAAACCAACAGCTTCTTCCATAGGACCTCTCAATTCTTCAACCTCTTTTTCCACTATCCTTAATCTGTTTAATTTTTCCGTTCTTTGTTCATTTAATAATTCAACTCTTTCATGGAGCTGTACCAATGGTTTCTAGAAAAAAAAATAATATAAAATTTATATTATAAATACACATTCATATAAACATAATGTTTATATAGTATATAATATTATTATATATACCGTACCTTCATTTGCAAGTTATACATAGGGAAAATACATTGTCGGTGGAACAGACAAGTCGAAGTCGCCGGTCAGCGCGAAACGAAAATGTTCCCAGAAATTATTTTGACGAGTGGATGAGTAGACTAACATGCGACGTAACAGGTGACTTTGTTTACTGGCGATTAAAATTTTATTACGTCCAAATAATTTCTGAGAACTTTTTCGCTTTGCGCTGACTTCAACTTGTCTGGTTCACCTACAATGTATTTTCCCTATGTATAGCTTGCAAATGAAGGTACGGTATATAGGATATATTATGGGATTTTATTTTTTTTATATATCTTAAAGTACCTTTTAAAACTTTGGTGTGTATTATTAGGATATAAAACTATATATTTTAGTAAGAAGAGTTCTTCAATTTTATTAGGAAGTTTTTTAATTAATCCACTAGTGGCGGAACCACTTAAAATTAAAATTAAGAGCTAGGGTTTTAACCTAATTGAAATTTAATCCAACGAATTTTCATGTCGGAATAATGGAAAAATATCAGTGGCTATTGTACAAAATATCAAGTTTCTATCGTGTATATTTTACATACTAAAGGACTTAGAAAATGAACTTTTAATGTTCTACAAAATTGTTTCTTACAAATTTGAAATTTGTGAAATAATAGTTAAAAAATGTTATAGTAGGTAAAGTATTGATTATAGGTCAAAAAGTTATAAAGCTATTTTATTGTACACACACAAAAGGTGGGAACCTTGACATTTAAATACACATAATTGATTCAGTTTAACGCTAATTTCGTCTTATTTTCTGAAATTATTACAATATACAGTGTGACCCATTTGTTGGGACTCACCCCTGTAAAATCTTTATTTATTGTGCGATTTTAACCGGATTAGTGTAGATCTTGATAAACTATTTTTGGAGGAAAAAAACATATTTTTACAAAATACATGGCCTACTAAAGTTTTCGAGAGTAAATTTTGAAGAATCCATATTAGCGATTTAAAAAAAATCTATGCACGGCACTGGATTAACCACCCCTCAAAACAACGCTATACTAAATTTTTAAGTGGAAACGATTTTGTAGCCAAATTAAAAATGCACAATAATTACTATTTATTCTGTCAAGTTATCCATGAAAAAACATTAAAATTAAACTAATACAAAAAAAAACAGTATAAATATTCTTATGCTTAGTTTTGAAAAAACAACAATGAAACAAAAAATAGTGAATTTCAAAAATTCTCTACAATTAGATTTTCGTCAACTCTACTAATCCACCATTTATTTCAACACACTTAATAATTCCTTTACGTACGTTAGTAGTTACCTTTCGTATTTGTTCTGTAGTAATGGCTGCGCAGGCTTGTATTACCCTAGCCTGTAGTTCCTGTGCAGTTTGTGGCCTCTATTTGCTTCAGTAAACCCCAAAGAAAAAAACAAGTGGCTTAAAATCTGGAGATCTCGGCGGTCACTCAATCAAAGGACTGTCTTAAAGTTAGATTTTCCTTTTTATTATTACAGTAGAAAATCTAATAACTTTCCGACATCTTAACGTTTTAATTTTAACATTTAACTGTTTCATGTATAAAAACGCCATTTAAAAATGTTCATTTTTAAGAATTATTAGGTGTATTGAAATAAATGGTGGATTACTAGAGGTGACGAAAATTTAATTGTAGAGAATTTTTGGAATTCTCTATTTTGTGTTTCATTGTTGTTTTAAGTTTATATTGCGTTTTTATTTTTTAAAACTAAGCATACGAATATTTATACCCTGTTACTATTAGTTTAATTTTATTTCAATGTTTTTTCCTGGATAACTTGACAGAATAAATTTTTGTAAATGGTAATTATTGTGCATTTTTAATTTGACTACAAAATCGTTCCTACTTACAATTTTTCAATAAAATTTAGTATAGGGTCGTTTTGAGGGGTGGTGAATCCAGTGCCGTGCATAGATTTTTTTAAATCGCTAATATGAATTCATAAAAATTTACACTCAAAAACTGACATAGTAAGTGTTGTGTTTTTTAATTAGTTAATTATGTTTTTCATTGCTACAAAAATACAGTTTATCAAGATCTACATTTTAAAACAAATCCTGTTAAAATCGCACAATAAATAAAGATTTTACAGGGGTGAGTCACAAACAAATGGGTCACACTGTATGTATTTTTTGTCAATAATAATAATAAAAATAATAAAATTTCTTTATTTCAATTCATGTTTCTATACAATAAAGTACAAAGAACAAAAGATGAAATGACGTCACAAAAGAAAAAAAACAACATTTACATGTATATGTCTATCCTTAGATCAACAATAATCCTATTTAAAATGTATAACTTAAATACTCTTCTATGTTGTAAGGTTCTATGTTTACAATGGTTTTTTTTATATTGCGTTTAAACTGCTTAATGCCACCTAGTTCTTTGATTGAAGCAGGTAATTTATTAAACAGTTTCGTGCACATATAGTAGGGACTTTTTTCTGTTAAAGTGAGGCGATGTCTTGGATATAACACAATTTGATGTCTAGTATTGTAATTATGGTAGGTATCGAATTGAAAATGACTTTTATTTCTAAAGATATACATCAAACATTCGTAAATATACAATCCATATATGGTCATAATATTTAGTGTTCTAAAAACCCCTCTACAGCTTTCATCAAATTTCATTTTCCTAATCGTTCGAATTGTCCGCTTTTGTAGAACAAAAACTTGTTGAGTCTCTGAATTGCTTCCCCAAAAAATTATACCGTATCTTGCTATGGATTCAAAGTTCGCGTGGTAAATAATTTTTACTGTCTCAATATTCATATACCTAGCAACAGTGCGAATACCATAGCTAATTCCGCCTAGTTTTGAACAAACCTGCTTAATTTGGTGGCCCCAATTTAGAAACTCATCAAGATAAATACCCAATACTTTAAGTGTTCCTGTTACTTCCAATTCAGTGTCGGCAATTTTTATATTATTAGGAATGCTTATGCGATTTTGCTTTGTTCGAAATAGTATAATATTGGTTTTTGTTGTATTTAAAATTAATTTGTTTTTAGTAAACCAGTCTTGTATTTTATTAAATGCCTCATCGCCATTACGCACTAGTTCTTGCAGTGTGGAGCCCTTTACTAGTAAATTAGTGTCGTCAGCGTAGTTTGTTATCGTGAATTCTCTTTCTATTAGCCCTATATCGTTTATAAATAGGATAAATAAAATAAGGCCCAAAATACTACCCTGCGGAATGCCAATGTTACATGTTTGGATTTCAGACTTAAACATTTTGCTATCATTTTTAATTTGAACTTGTTGTTTCCTATTTGAAAGATATGATTTAACCCATATGTAAGCGTTACCTCGGACCCCGTATTTTTCTAATTTGTACATCAGGAGGTCATGATCTAGACAATCATATGCCTTAGATAGGTCTAGAAAGATTCCCAATGCATTTTTCTTTTTTTCAAGTAGCTCTATCACTAATTTCGTGTACTGGAAAATAGCTGTAGTGGTTGATCTGCCTTTTAAATAGCCATGTTGTCCTGTGGAAAACAAATTGCATGTTTCTATAAAGTTCACTAGTTGAGAACACATAACTGCCTCAAATAGTTTTGAGAAAGCAGGGAGTAAGCTTATTGGCCTATAATTGTTTAAGTCTGACTGTTCTCCTTTTTTGTAGATTGGCTTGATGACAGCTAGTTTTAGTCGTTCCGGGAAGATTCCAAATTTTAACGAGTTGTTGATAATATGACATAGAACACTATCTATCTCCGTGATGCTAACTTTGATTATACTTGTAGGTATTCCGTCTTCTCCACTACTATGTTTATTTTTTAATTTTTGGCATATTTTAAGAAGTTCTGTGCTTGTAATTGGTTTTAGTAACATTGACTTGTCGCTATCACTGATGTTGCATGTAAATGGTACTTTGGGTAACTTAGTTAATAAGTCTGGAATAATTGTAAGGAGATGTTTATTAAAATTATTTGCGACTAAGGTAGGATCACCCTCGATATCGCATTTATCTATATCTGGGGTCTTTCCCTGAATCTCATTAAATATTGACCACATACTTTTTGATTTATTATCTGATTTTTTTATTTGTGTATCATATTTTTTTGCACGTTCTTTAACTAGAAGTTGATTGTATTTTTTTGTAATTTCTATGTATTCATTTCGATACCTCTCATTGTGTTTTAATAGAACATGTAGTATGTCTAGGTTTTGTTTACATTTCAGAATTTCAGGACTATACTTTACTTTATTTTTATTATACTTATTTGTAATTTTAAGTGGAAAACAATGGTTAAAATTATTAGAAAATGTTTTGATAAAATTATTCCATTGACTATTTACATCATTTATGTTAACCTCATATACATAAAGGTGTTAATTTAGAAGGAACTTGACTCAATACAATTTTTGTAGAAAATGTAATGCTCTTTAAGAATCAACAGGCATTTATATAAAAAAGTGCCTACATAGAATGCAGAGAGAAAAAAATGAAAAAAAAGATTTGGTGTTATTTCCAAGGAAAATTTTAATACTCTGATGCACCTCTTAAAATTGAAATTAAGGGTTTGGATTTAGACAGAATTTTTATTTCGAGGGTTTCTGTGGAATTTTTATGTGAGATCAAAAACGATGTCGCCTTTTTGGCACACCCTAATATACATTATGTAGTTTTATATACACACCATAATATAATAAATAAGTAACTATCATCCACGCTTAGGGGTTGAAGTTAAGGGGTTGAAATTATAAAAATAAATTGTCACCCAAAACCAAAAGTCGACATGTGCGAGCGATTTTGGTTTTTTACGTAACACCTGAGATAAACAGGGTGGAAACTTTCCATTGGCTCACTCTGTATATAGTTTGGTGTTAGTTTTTATTATACACTGTGAATACAATGGAATAAATAACCCTGAAGATAAGGATAGCAAATCAAAAAAAAGGAAGTAAAGCGAAACGTCGCCTATAGTTGAAGCTTCTAAAAGTTATTTTGTCCACAGATCATAAAGGTTTTGTCATTAGACAAAGGGCCAGTATCTTTACGCTGCCTGACGCCCACATTTAGCTACATAAAATTAGTCCCGTCGGCAAATTTTTTAATGTGTTTTTTTTTATTTTATATAATAAATTAGTTATAAAAGTAAAATCAAACTCTTCAATACATTTTAAAGTCATAATATCAAAAATATGACCGAAATACACAAAACCCACTTTCAAACTATGTTGGAGAATTCTATTCCTAGAAACGTTGTAGCAACGTTCCAAAACCCACATTTAGTCCCGTCGACAATTTTTTTAATGTGGATTTTTTAAAATTTTTATCCTTTGTAATACATTAGTTATAAAAGTAAAATCAAACTCTGAAATACATTTTTGAAAGTCATAGTTTCAAAAATAAGGCCGAAATACACAAAACCTACTTTTAGCTACATAAAATCCACATTAAAAAAGTCCCGCCGACAATTTTTTTAATGTGGATTTTTTATTATTTTATCCTTTATAATACATTATTTATAAAAGTAAAATCAAACTCCTCAATACATTTTTAAAGTCATAATATAAAAATATGACCGAAATACACAAAACCCACTTTCAACCCGGACAACAATCGATTTCCTGGTGAAGTCATGATGATATCACAACGTGATTTCTTTTATCACGCTGTGATATCCTGAGTGCACACACATGCTTCATCACAGTGATATCATGTAGAACTCACGCTGTGATATTTGCAATTTGCGCATGCGTATGAGCCCTGCGAACTGCGAATTTAAAACCTACCCGATTTTTTAGGCCATCGGTCAATCGCAAACAGCGATGGCATAAAAAATCACGACGTGATTTTCATTTCTCTCGCAGTGACATCCGTATGATGTCCGTATGAATAAAATTTGTGAAAATCACGACGTGACGATCGTATGATTTTTATTTATCACGCGGTGACTTCCGTATGATATCAGTATGAATAAAATTTGTGAAAATTACGACATGATGTTCGTATGAATATCACGAATGTTGTCCAGGAAACTACGTTGTATTGCTAGAAACGTTGTAACAACGTTCCAAAACCCAAATTTAGCTACATAAAATTATTCAAGCCGACAATTTTTTTAATTTGGAATTTGTTTGTGCAACAATTATTTTTTACTAATTTCTTAAAAATGTCCGAACTTAAATATAAATTATATTAGGTAAAGTTATCATTAGTTAATTCTGCACCAACAAATATACCTACCGAATTGGATTCTTTGGCAAAACATGAAAATGCAACGATTTATTTCTTGAATTTTATTTACAATTAAAAACACAATAATTCATCATAATCACTTAGATAAAATACACACACTAACGTAACTATATAAGCATATAAGCGTTGAGTTTCTTAATCAATGATATAAGGAATATTTAATCGAAATCGAGTACTAAACCAAAGTTTTGGAGTTTTTACATCTAACGCAAAACACAAAAAACGTGCGCGATTTAGCTGTGCAATTGAACAAAATTTTGTTGAATAAGACTTCTGCCTTCCTCTCTTTTGTGAAAAAACTACTTATTTATTTAAATTAATGTGCAGTTCGTATGCTTTAAATGTATTGTTGACAATTCGATGGTATTTTTGGAAAAGGGCGAATATGCCATTTTCCTGTTTTGAGAAAAACAACAAAAAGTATTTCTGCATGACCTAGAAAAGAAAAATGAACAAACTGGAATTTAAAAACTTATTATATACATTCGTCCTTTTGCCAGAATGATCTCACAAAATGTACGTATTGTTTGGTGCATAAAGCTCAAAATTGTAAATTTGGCTTATTCGCTCTCTTAACTTCCCACAATGCTATCGATCTCCACCAGATGGCGCGCGCGTTGCGAATACCCGATGCTTTAGCGTATAAGGTTGTTTCCCCAATTTTTTTTGGAAGTGTTTTTTCATGGAAGTGCTTTTTCAATGGATTTTTTGGGTTATATGGAACTAAAATATAAACATGTTCCTGGAACGGTGTAACAAAGAAATTATTGCTACCCGCTTTGATGTTCCCAAAACCACTTTATACAACAAATATAGTGGGAAGTATTCTAATGTATTTGGGAGGCCAAGTGTAATGATTACAGCTGCGGATAATGGATAATCTTTTGTAAAACAAGATACAAAAGATTGCATTCATATCTAAACCACAAAGGAGTAATAATTAGTTGTTTTAAAGAAAACCTTCCTGACCGGTAAAAATGGTGTTAACTCAAAGGAATGCTGAAAATAGAAAAAGTTCCAAAGCAGAAGTTCATGATGATTTAATAAACCAATATTTTTTCAAAAATAAAGGAAATAATGGATGCTTTGCGAGGACCCAGGAAAACAAAAAGTTTTTGTGAAAAAAGAAAACAAACACTATGAATATTAGACAATTCTTTAACTTCCATAATGTTTGCTACCACTGGAGAAGAACTTTTACCATTGTATAATGCCTACCAGGCAAATCTTTTAGATTTTTTTCTAGCAACCCTCAAAGGTTTTTAATAATTTTTATATTAATAAATTAAAACCATGTACATCAATTTGGAGCACATTTAGGGTACAAGTTTTGCATTTAATAAATAAATTTTAAAACTTTCAAGTGTAGAAAGAAATATGAGTATGAGTATGAGTATAAAAACGTATGGCAGGCCCCATCGGCCACGCCTTACACTGATCTTCCAGGGTTATTTTACCCCCTTTCGGTTCTATACGTATCCCGCCACTGCACAGCTTTACCTGTGTTTGGTGGATCCGAATTTTCGCCCCGGCATCTTCCCTAGGAGATCGTGGATGACAGTGTCGATGGTTAAGGTAATTTCCGGAATTTTGTCGCCGGGCCGACCATACGCCCGATTTAGGCTAGTGGAGTGTAGGACTACGGGGGGCAAAAGTTGGTTTTTGGGGGCCTTGAACTGACCCAAAACTAAGTACAATCTGGACTCACCCTCAACCAGGGTACTAGTAATGACAGTATAAACAGCACAACGGTTTTTGTATTATTCATATTTTAAGTGAGGAAGGGAGGAAGGAAGGCAAACTATAAATCAGGCTTTAAGGGTTTTCGGTGATTTTTTGGTATTTAATAAAAATTATATTGAAACAAACTATAATGCATCGAATAGGATGTGTTTTGAAGTATTTGTAAAAAAAATTGTATACGAAAATATGGAAAGCTGTGGAAAATACGGCCCTTCTCCCGAAACGCCTTTTTTTCAAGCGTTTGCGGTGAGCATGAAATATCGAAAAGCGCATAACAGATCTTAATGAAAAAAACCATATTAGTACATAGTATACTATATATATCAACCCGTTCGTGGACAAATGGATTTGCAAAAAAAAATGTTTACGCAATGGCAGTGATTTTCGGCAACGGCACTTTTAAAAAAATACGATTCCGAGATAAACGCGTTTAAAGTTTTAAGTTCATTCAATTTGCCTTTAAATGTTCGTGAGGTAGCGCGCTATAAATTTCTATAACATAAGTTCTAGTGCTCCGATCTTGATGAAGTTTTAAGTACATGTTCTTAAAAGTATATTTTGTAAGAATATTCAATAAAAAATCGATTTTTTACCCAGCACAAATGTATGTAAGTAACATGATTAAAATAAACTTAAGGGGTTAATATAAAAGATCTAGCAATGATTAAAATAAACATAAGGGGTTACATTATGTGATTACATATTGTAACCCCTTAAGTTTATTTTAATCATTGCTAGCTCTTGTATATTAAAATGATTTATAAATGTTTGCACTCTATATTTAACAGAAAATATTACCTTCTTAAATCAATAGTAATACATAAAATAGTAGGAAGGTCAGGCACGCAATACCAAAGAAACAAATTAAACAATTAAATTTTTTTTAAATTTTGATGTACCAATTGAGGGGCTCCATGCAAGAACCGGGTTTCTCCATATTTTTGCTAAATTGAAGATATGAAGATACACACTTCAGTAGTCCGCATCGTTCGTTGCACAAACCGTGTAGATCCACATTAGCGTTAACTAAATATATCAGATACAGGAGATACCGCAGAAATTATACTGTGCAAAATAATTTTTAACAAGGTTTTTCTTTTCTCCTGAACATTTTCAGAATAAGGAGATACCTGGTTCTTGCACTGAGCCCCTCAATTATTAAAGTACTAATTTTTACCTTATATCTGGAAGTTCCTATAATATCTTCCAAATATTCCAGCATTCCAGACTCATGTTCATTTTCGGCCTTACACTTCATCATAGCAATTTGTTCCACTTCACCCTTAAGAAATATAATAATGAAATAAGTTTTAACTACAATTTAATGGTATTGTATTTTTAATTTTTTAATACCACTGTTAAGGATATCCAGATATTTTTTAAATTGAAAGGTTATTTAGTTTTAGGATATGTAGGATTAAGTTTAGATTATAGGAACTCTTGCATGTAATAACAATATTATTTTGTGTTTGTAGGAGAATAAATAATAATAAAAAAAAACAAACCTGTAGAATTAAAAACCTGTTATGGTCCAGATCTATGCCATGTTTTTTAAGTAAAACACCAACTTCTTTAAATTGTACTTTTTTCCTGTTTAATGTGTAAAAGGATGAATTGTCTTTATTTGCTGTACGAGACACAACAAACTCACTGCCAGGTACAATATCATAGTTATCCCCATCCTACAACACTTTTAATAAAAAGTATACTTTCGATATACCTAAATTATGGAAGTGGCTATTTATACGTCCAATGTAAACAAAATTCAGTATGTCTTGTGCTTTCATTGGCACTTGGCTAGCTTGTCAACAATGCAATAACTATTACTAGTACAGTTGGCATCCCCGAAATGTGAAAGGCAAAATTTAATCGTGTAATATGGGCTTTGCATCAGTGTCGTCGGTAGTTGTCAAATTTGATAATAGTTGTCAATTGCAATATTAAAAATGCCACCCCACTTAACCAAGGCTCAGAGGTCCAGGGCAATAGCCAAATTAGAAGAAAATTGGTCTTTAAGTGAAGTAGCTGCAGATTTAAATGTCAGTAAAAGCCGCATATTTTATATCAAAAAACATTGGCAAGAACAACAAAGATTAAGAAGACCTATCAGGCAAGGTGTAGGAAAAATCTCCAACGAAAATGAAGACAATGCCCTTGTCGCACATATTAGGCAAAATCCTTTCAATAGAGCAGTTAAGGCCCAAGAAGATACACAATTTCCAGGATCTCTTCGAACAGCTCAAAAAAGATTGAAACAAGCTGGTTTCAAAAAACTGTGCTGCTGCTCATAAGGTTTTTTTAACTGACGAAAATAAGCGCAGGAGAGTCCAGTTCGCCAATGACTATTTAAATTATGGAGACGATTTTTGGAATAATGTTATTTTTCGGATGAAAAAACGTTCCAATCTTGCAATAATGGAAGGCTGCGTGTATATCGTTCCAAGAAACGCAAGATTTGAGGAGAACTATACATTAAGAACCTCAAATAGTGGACGCTTTTCCATAAATGTTTGGGCGTGGATAAGCATCCATGGTCCGGGAGTATGTTGGGAAATTGATGGTAGATTAACGGCTGAGCACTATACGATGATTTTGGACAACGTTATGCTACCTTCAGTTAGACATGTGTTTCCAGAAAACTTTATATTCCAACATGTAAAACTGTAAAGTATTCAAAAACGATTCTAATAAATATTATATTACAGGACAATGCACCAGTTCACACAGCTCGCGTGGTTACAGAGTGGGTAAACAACAACTACATAACTGTTTTGCCATGGCCAGCTAGAAGCCCTGACTTAAACCCCATTGAAAACGTGTAGGGTTTTATAGTTAAAAATATATATCGACGGGACTTTAGGCCAGCAAACCGAGATGAACTATGGAGTGCTGTTGAAAATTCTTAGGATGAGCTTCCTGAGTCATATGACATGCGTGAGCTAATAATGTCCATGCCAAGAAGGTTGCAAAGGGTTGTGGCAGCTAATGGCTCTGAAATTAAGTATTAAAATAGCTTAGCAGCATAGTTTTTCTTGAGCTGTTCGAAGAGATCCTGGAAATTGTGTATCTTCTCGGGCCTTAAATGCGCTATTGAAAGGATTTTGCCTAATAAGTGCGACAAGAGCATTGTCTTTATTTTCGTGGGAGATTTTACCTACACCTTGCCTGATAGGTCTTCTCAATCTTTGTTGTTCTTGCCAACGTTTTTTGATATAAAATATGCAGCTTTTACTGACATTTAAATCTGCAGCTATTTCACTTAAAAACCAATTTTCTTGAGCAATATGTTAATTTAGTTATGTTATTTTTATTCTGTATTTACCTACTTGTTAATTTATATTGTTGTATAAAACCAAATTAAAGTTAATTTATTTGTTATATTGTTTATATTATTGTTTGTTAAAATATTATTAAAAAAATAGAACGATTTTTTTTTAATGAAGGAATAAATTTTATGAAAAAAATCCATAACAAAAAATCGTTCACATTTCGGAGACGCCAATTGTACATAAAATATATGTAAATAAATTAAAACTAACCAACCCAACCTGAACAGACCAACCAAGTCCTAGCCAATAACCAAGGTAGTGGAAGAGTTTCTTTGGACTTATCCGCAAAGCAGTTATATCATATAAGGAGTGATTTTTCAAAAGGCCTTATTTTCATTTTTACTTTAATGTAATTTTTTGAGAAAATCCCAAAGGTATGGTTAAAAGTCATATATTAACGGCGAAATATGACAGCAGGTCTGAAGTATTATTAAATATTTATCAGAATTTTTTTTAAATAATCTAGGTATATTGCCCTAACCTATACAGGTTATAGTCATTTTTTTGAAAAATTGTTGCAAATGGAATACAACCTTTTGAAAAATCACTCCTCATATATTACAAAGGACATAATATTAACAGCAATAAATGGTTAATTTACTAACCTGTAGTGTTCAATTTCCCTTCTATGCAAATGGATAATTAATATAACAAGTATTATACCTGGTAATCTACACAAATACACTAGGTAACAACAAACTAAAAAGCTTGGATCATAGAACAATCACATTGTTGACAAGCCACCCAAGTGCTTCATAATGGTCACATAAATTAACTATCAAGACATATACTGAATTTTGTATATGTCAGCTTTAATAGCCACTTTGATAAATTATTTACTAACCCTATCAATGATTTCAGCAAAATGAACGGCCACAGTTCCACTTTGTACATTTCTGTGATTTTCAGAATTATGGAGCAATACTGAAACCTTTTTACACCTTATTTTATTTGCTCGATAACCAAATACAAACAACATGGAATCAATAACATTACTTTTACCACTTCCATTGGGACCCACAATGGCATTAAAACACTAAAATTTAAATAATGATAATAGTAATGCACTTTTAAATAAAGCTCTAGATTAATAGGCAATACTTTATGAAATGGTCCAAGCACTTGTTCCTCAGCATAACTCTTGAAGTAGTTATTAACAATTTTGGTTATAATTAATCTGGGGCCTGTAGGGTCGAACGAAAGGGTCGGTTTTGTTGGGGGTGGAATATAAATGCCGTCAACTCTGGTTCCTTCCTCGTCAGAAAAACAATCGTCCTCGTTCTCATCGTTTTCTACTTCGTCCGAAAGTTTACGTTTTCTAGACGACATTGTTCACAAAAATTATATTTTCACTTTACTAATGATAAAACTGTGTACATTTAAATAATTATAACTATATTTACATTTTATCAACGGACAAAATGTCAACGATTTTAAAATTGTTTGTTTTAAAAAGTACCAACCTTAAGCTTTACGCGGGAATTTTAATTTGAGAAAATGAACCGCAACTTAATAGTTATTTATTCTTATAAAAATTAAAATTATATTTATTGTTTTAAAACAAAGTTCAATTCAAACAAAGCATTTAAATATATTAATTTAAAAGTTTTAACTGTCCTCTCTTTCTAGTTTGTAGGCTTTTCTGTTCTGTGGCAAACTTCATATTGGTCTGTCATTTGTCAAAATAACTTATTTTAGTCGCCTTTTTGGGAAGTCACCTGCGAGAAAAAGTTTAAAATACTGAAAAATGAGTGAAGATATTCAAAGAAAATTACAGACCGAATTAGACGGCTTTAAAAATAACCAAAAAGGTATAAGTCATGTCATTATTCTAAATATTTTTGGTGAATAAAGTTAACCCATCTTTTTTAGAGCTGCAAAAAGCGATTGCCACAAGACAACAATTGGATGGACAACTAAATGAAAATGAAATAGTCAAAAAAGAATTAGACCTTCTCCCAGCAGATGGTAAAGTGTATAAATCTGTAGGACCAGTATTAATCAAAACTGATCTAGTTGAGGCGAAACAAAATGTTGGTAAAAGGATGGATTTTATTAACAAGGAAGTAAAACGTGTAGATGAACAGATTATATCATTGGAAAAGAGGCAAGACAGTCACAGGGAAACTTTACAGAAATTGCAACACCAATTTGAACAGGCACAAGTCAAAGCTGCCATACATGCTTAATATTGATACCATATTGTTAATTTATATTAAAATATACTAATTTTCACTTTATTGATGCTTGTTTAGTAAGACCTTATTACAAGAGCCCTGTTCAGCACAACAGTTAAGTAAAATTTTAAGGTTTTTTCACTGTATTAAGTAGGTACCTACATTTAAAAAGTTTTTTCCGAGGTTTTTTCAAAACATTTCAACCTGTTCTTTGAGTTTATAATATACTTACCCCTTTGGGACAAATTAAAACTTTTAAGGTTTTGAGCTATTTTTGCTCTTTAAATACCATTTTTGGCTATTTTAACGATTTTTTCTATTTTAACTGATTTTGATAAATTAAAAAGTTTAAATTAGAGTGATATTAATATCTTATGGCGGTTGACCTTGAGAGACGCTATATTATAACAAATATAATAAAATTTCTAGCCCAGAAATTCTTCAAAATATGTCAATTTATATCAGCATTGTTTACCCTTTGTAGTATGTTTTTAGGTCGGCGAGTAATAGGCTATTACTAATAGCGCGATTTGACGGATTTGAGACTTTTGCGCACCCAAGGTTATCCGCCATGAGTGTTGCCCACAAAACTAGACTTCTAGTTTTGTGGTGTTGCCATCACAGAACATTTTACACACTATTTTTCCACTTTTCTCAACGTTTCCTGCTTCCGACTCTGACGCTATCTTACATTTTATAAAAACAGATTATAAATTTAACCTTAAGGTTATAAATCGAAATGTATTTCTTGAAAATTGAGAGTTTTTCACAGTGAAAGTAAAGAAAATGTTTTATGAGCACTATACAGTGGAGTCCGTGCCCGAATTTAAGTTATAGTTTACTGCCGGCGAAATTAAAAGGTCAGTACAATGTTCATATAAACTTTTGAAATATTTGCAGATAATTCAGACGCGTCTGATTACGTCTGTTTTTATCCGCGATTACCTTCATTTTTTTCGTCTATTTTTGTCGGGTTTTATCTGCAAACGTCTGGTTTTATCCGCGAGCATATGCTTTTACCCGCGAACATCTGCAATCATCCGCGAACATCTGCTTTCATCCGCGAACATCTGATTTTATCCGCCAACATCTGCTTTTATCCGCGAACATCTGCTTTCATCCGCGAACATTTGCAGTCATCCGCAAACAACTGCTTTTATCCGCGAACATCTGCAATCACCCGCGAACATCTGCAATCACCCGCGAACATCTGCTTTCATCCGCAAACGTCTGGTTTTATCCGCAAACATCTGCTTTCATACGGTTTCACCCGCAAACATGCTTTTATCTGCGAACGCCTGATTTCATCCGGTTAGTGCACCCCCGCAAACATCTGCTTTTATCCGCGAACATCTGCAATCACCCGCGAACATCTGCTTTCATCCGCGAACATCGCATTTTATCCGCGAACATCTGCAATCATCCGCGAACATCTGCTTTTATCCGCAAACATCTCATTTTATCCGCGAACATCTGCTTTTATCCGCAAACATCTGCTTTCATCCGCGAACATCTGCAGTCACTCGCGAACAACTGCTTTTATCCGCGAACATCTGCAATCTCCCGCGAACATCTGCAATCACCCGCAAACATCTACTTTTATCCGCAAACATCTGCTTTCATCCGCGAACATCTGCTTTTATCCGCGAACATCTAATTTTATCCGCGAACATCTGCAATCATCTGCGAACATCTGGGTTTATCCGCAAACATCTGCGAACATCTGGGTTTATCCGCAAACATCTCATTTTATCCGCGAACATCTGCTTTCATAAGGTTTCACCCATAAACATGCTTTTATCTGCGAACGCCTGATTTCATCCGGTTAGTGCACCCCCGCAAACATCTGCTTTTATTCGCGAACATCTGCAATCACCCGCGAACATCTGCAATCACCCGCGAACATCTGCTTTCATCCGCGAACATCTCATTTTATCCGCGAACATCTGCTTTTATCCGCAAACATCTGCTTTCATCCGCGAACATCTGCTTTCATCCGCGAACATCTCATTTTATCCGCGAACATCTGCTTTTATCCGCAAACATCTGCTTTCATCCCCAAACATTTGCTTTTATCCGCGAGCATCTGCTTTCATACGGTTTCACCCGTAAACATGCTTTTATCTGCGAACGCCTTATTTCATCCGGTTAGTGCACCCCCGCAAACATCTGCCTTTATCCGCAAACATCTGATTTTATCTGCAAACATCTGCTTTTATCCGCAAACATCTGATTTTATCCACAAACAACTGATTTTATTCGCAAACATCTGAATTTATCCGCAAACATCTGCTTTTATCCGCAAACATCTGATTTTATCCGCAAACATCTATTTTAATCTGCAAACATCTGATTTTATCCGCAAACATCTGATTTTATCCGCAAACATCTGCTTTTATCGGCAAACATCTCCAAACATCTGCTTTTAATTTCAAATCTCTGCTTTCATCCGCGTTCGGTTTGCCTGCATTTCCTTTGTCCATTTCGGTCCTGTTTCGTACGCAAACGTCTGGTTTCATTCGCGCTTTTTGTTTTCCTTTTTCTCGTGTATACTTTAGTTTAGTTTATATGCTTGGTCAAATTTTACTGACTCAGTATTACTGGGCCAGTAAGCACAGCGTTGATTTCAATATTTGACCAATCTCATTGATTCAATAGAAGTGGTCAATCATTGGGCAATAATTGTATGGTCCATTATTTAGTTAACTGAAATTGTATGTGAAGTCCCAATCGTTGATCAATCATTGCTCAATTTTTAGCCCATTCGAATTGTTAATAATTGATCAATTAACCGGACGTGAAACCGGGCAATTATTGAACACTCCAATACGAACACGGTACTCTGGTTGATTGGCCAATGACTGGGCAATTATTAAATATTAACTACATTTATAGCAAACATTACATATTACAGAAATATCTTTAATATTAAAGATATATATCACCCAAAGAATTATCCCTAGGGGAGGATGAATCATGATTCTTTGGGTTATTTTAAGGATATTTTTGTAGTAGGTACTATACATTTATTTTAATTTAGTAGATATTTAATAATTGCCCAGTCATTGTACAATCAACCGGAGTACCGTATTCGTATTGAAATACCCCGCAATTACCCGGTTTCACGTTTCAGCTGATTTTTTTCAAAAGTAATAATTATTATAAGTGAACTATAAAGACGCATTGTAAAAATAAGACTTATTTCTACCATAACTAGACGTATAATGCCCAGTGTTTCGCTTGGCCGCATCATAAATTGAAAGTCGAAAATTAAGGTTTGTTTTGGTTTATAAGGCCGAAAATCGCGTTGTGTTTTAGTATATAAGGTCGAAAATCACGGTTTGTTTATAGACAACAATAATCCTGTGGATGTTGAAGACAGTTTTTGCAACAAGTTATAGGTCCTATAGACCTATATAGTTGTTCCCTGTCTATTGTTTCTTGTCTATGAATCCATTTCGCATGCGCAAGTAAATTGTACACGTGTGTGGCTCATATTCGTCGGTTATTTGTTAAAAGAAACGTGCGTTTGTCCTGTGTGTGTCTGTTAACAGAAAATTTTCATAGAGAATACAAAATTGGTAAGTATTATTCTAATATTATTAGAAACCAGCCGCAATGCTGCCAAAAAGTTATTTATAATGGAAACAAAGAAGGGGCAGTAAGACTTGAAAAACACAACCTTTGAAGATGCAATTTATGGTAAATGTACATACAGTGCTTGCAAATCCAAGTCCGACCGCCTTGGGAAGGGACGGTTGTTCAATACCCCGCGTGAAAAGAATAAGGATAGAATGCCAAACAGAATTTGATTGGTCAGAGCGTCAGGCGTGCGTATTGTAAGCGCCTTCTGTTTGGCGTTCTATCCTTGTTATTTTCACGCGTTCCTTCCCAAACCGGTCGGACTTGTGTTTGCAAGCACTGTATATGTATACCTACATAATTTTTTAATCGAGTTCTAAATATTTCTATGTTATAGCTTCTCTTGGTGGACGAAAAAGGTTTGACCTTCCAGAAGGAGACGAATTTAAAGATGTCGTCACAAAAGCCCTAACAAAGAATTAGGAATTCAAAACATAGATCTCGAGTTTGATTGGGATCACTTCTTGCCGGGCCGCCATTTAAAAAAAAGTTTGTTGTTTTTTTTTCATGTACATGCCCATGCAATAATTGTAATTAATTTATTAGAGAATAAAAGTATTGAGTCAAGTCATGTCAACTGTGACACAAATATTTATGAAAATTTGTAATGTTTAAAATATTGAGATAGGTACCCTCATAGAAAAAACCCTGTTTACAAAAAAATCTAAACATTTAAACAGTGAATAATATTATACAGGGTGGTCCAGAACTCGTGCCCCACCAGAAAAATGGCTAATGGTAACGACAATAGAGATGCCAAAACTGGTAAATAAAGAGGTTTAATATTGACCAATCCCAGTGGTAGTCAAATATACAAAATGAAGTGAACGAGTCTTAACATTTTACCAAGTTTGCATATGTCAATAAAACTGAAAAGCTTCGTCAAACGAAAAGTTGTAAAACTTCTATTCGTTTTTGACAAAGCTTGTGAGTACTAGTGAACTAATAAATAAATACACTGTCAAAATGTTAAGGCTTGGTCATATATATCATTTTTGTATATTTGACACCACCCAGCTGGGATTGGTCAATTTCAAACCTCTTTATTTATCAAACAAAGCAGTTTTGCCATCTCCATTGTCATTACGAGTTCTGGACAACCCTATATCCATAGTTTAAATGTTTTGATTTTTTTGTATAGTTTTTTTTAACATTACAAATAGGTATTCAGGATTAGTTAGTATCACAGTTGATATGGATTGACTTTTTTGTAAAATATCCTTTTTTTATTTTAAATATACCTTTCAATTAAAAAAACCAGCCCAAGTTGGCCAATTATTGCCCAATGATGTATCACAAATTGAATTTAACAGAAATGGGCAATTATTGGCCATTCATTGATTTCTATATGATTGGTCAATAATTGCCCGTAAATGCGGACGTATCTGTGTCCAATAATTGCCCATTTTGAAATGGACAAT